TAAATTTTAAGGCGTCTTAGGGCCGTAGTGCGGTAGTGACACTTTTCCGGACATGGGTCCCTATACTCAAATGTTTTCTACTGTTGCACTGAATAACCCCTAGAAGTTTGATCCCATAGTTCTGAAACACCCTGTATAGTCAAAGATATGTCTATGGATGCAACTTCACAACGGCAACACGCACTCCAAGGTTCGTCTGCTGAAGTCGGCGCTGTGAAGCATGCGTGAATTTTGTTGTGCAATTTGAGAACACTGCATTCTGGCTCCGATTGCTCGGACTCGGAGAGCTCCGAATCAGTCAATTGTAATCCAAAGTTGGGAATGCTACTTGATTGAATTGCGCGCGCGTTTTGTATGTATGTGTGTATGCATGCGTGTGTATGGCGTAGTGTACATCTCACCATCGTTTCAACCAAAATATTAGCTGAAAAATTACACGAGTGCACCGGTGGACGACGACAACTACGTTTCTTCTGCGCGAAATTACAGAGTTATGTCGTGGTGCATCGTGGATACGAGCGACATGCGTACGAATGAGACACGAGTCTCGGGTACGTTGTTCATTACGCCAAATACGCTCAATTGAGGCGAGAAAAATTGAGAGAAGAGAAGATATGCTCGGTGACAACGCGTTCAGTACGACGAGATGATAATTTTTTACTGCAGACGCGACAGCCCCGAACTTTTCTAGGAATAGACCATTTGCAACGCGCTCGGACGTAATCACTAGCATTGAGCAAAATGTCTTGGCTTGTTTGGTCGGCGGACATCAAAAAGAGGGCTTGCAGATATCTGCTGCAACGTTATCTCGGTCAGTTCCTCGAGGAACTCACGCTGGATCAGTTAAACGTCGATTTGTTCAACGGTACTGGACGTGTCGTCAATGTGAACCTCGACGTGCAGGTGATTCACACGTGCTTTCTTTGTCTTATGGCCCTTTCTTCACTTAGTATAGATAAGAATACTGTACTGTAAAGTGTTAATTGAACTGTTCTTGTTTATTTGATAAGTACTATTGTACATCTCATTCTATTTTACTTTATATCCGCAAATTATTATATCTATTTTTAATTCTCTGTTCTTGATTAATAAAAGTCATATAATGAAATGAATAAATATGTATACATATGACTAAAGAAAGAACAAGTAAATTGTATACATAATTTATTACAAGTGTTATTCATTTATAACAAACAGTATAAAGTACTAAGCAGATGGAAATTTGTCAGTATTGAAACTGAAAGTTTTACCAAATGTTACTTTAGATCTATATATTCAATAATGCACTTATTTATTTTTTAAATCAGTGACTTTATATAAATTTTTTGGTGCTTACACTTTGTGTGTGAATAATGATTGTTTTTGACATTAAATTGAGTAAATAATTTTGTACAAATTGTATGTACATAAATATATATGTAACTGATTTTATTAGTCAACTAGTTAAACAATGTATCTAAATAGCAGTGAGGAAAATCTTCTGATAACAAAATCTTTGAGACATTTCAAGATAAAATTTCTAATGTCAAGGTTATACAAATAGAAAGTATTGTTTAATAAAAGTGAGTAAAGTTCACAAAAAAAAAATCACAGAGTAGTGGCATTTTACACACTCACGTTCAAGCAGAGCAAGTAGTAGTACAATTCCATGACTTGGAGTTTTCCTCAATATGAATATTTATTTATGATATGCTTCGTGAATTTTAATTGTTTTTTTTATTTGCAATTAATCGTATACTTAATAATTTTATATTATCTTGTACTTTTAAATGATAAAAATTGCAATGTTTTCACAAAGAAAGGCTAAGTAAATAATTTATAGATTTATAGATTCATCTGAAACACTGTCATTGTTATTTTATTTTAATAACTTTAAAACACATCTTACACATAAGATGAAATAAAATAAAAATTTTTCCGACAAGTAATTTTGATAACATTTGGAAATGTGAATTACATAAAATTGAACAGTTTTTTTTTGTTTTTATAATAGGCTCTCAATGAAGTAAGCGAGCAACAACATCTTCCTGTGGATTTTGTCGATGGATTTATATCAGAAATATCGCTTAGTGTACCATGGTCAGCATTACTTAGTGAAGCAAGTTACGTAGAAGTAAATGGCCTTAGGCTCACAGTGCAACCGCGACAAAGAGTCGATACAGGAACGTCAATGTTTGAATCTATGTGGAGCTCTATGACATCGAGTATGCAACTTGCTCAGGAATGTTTGCAGCAAGATGCAGCCACTGCAGGAAATGCTCAGCCCCTTGAAGCGGTAGAGCTATTCGCACAGACTATAGATTCAAGTAAGATAGTTTAATATATTGTTAGTTTAAATAATATATAATATATTTAATGTATATTATAGTCAAATATAAAGTTTTGTGTGTGTGTGTGTGTGTATATATATATATATCTTTGGAACTTTATTATTTTAGTTTTATCTAAGGTTAAAGTGAGATTCATTGACACTGTGATACGTTTGGAACATGTACCATTAAATTCTTCCATGGGAGTGGCGATTGAGATGTGGATAAAGAATCTTGAATATTCTGACGAGGCTGGATTAGATTCCAATAAAACGTTTCTAAATCCTGATGAATCTCCAAAAAGTTATATTGTTTCGGCGTTTTCCACTAAACGATTTTGCATGGAAGGTGTAACTTTCTATACTGACGAATTTCCGTCTTGTGCCAGAACATTTTCTAAAAGTGTAGTGACGAGCACGTGTTCCACTCCCGATTCTAAAGTGAGCAATAATTTATATGTGCACTTAAACCTCAACCACCGATGTGTTTTTCGACACCTTAATTTCTTGATCATGGGTCGTTTGTCGTCTTGAACTTTTTAAAAATATTAAATATGTTTTAAAAAATCTGAAACAATTTGTATACACTTCAAACAGTCTATTTTAAGAAACCATCATTAAATTTAGCAAAAAAAAAGTTTTAATTCATAATTTTTAGCAACTATGCTTTCTAGAAATTTCAGAAAGTAATTTTGCGCCAGACGAAAATGACTTATGATTGGTGGTTGAGGATTAAATATAATATATATAAAAAGAGAAGATTGTTATAATTTTTTTTATCTCAATGATAGAACTCGGACAGCTTGTTTATTTCTGCACAAATGTCTCCTACACAAAGTATGGTGCAAACTCCATTGGAGGGAAGTACTGTTAATTGCTCGAACGAATCAAATCTGATCATGTTTGCTAAGCTAGCGGGTAGACAAGAAGTGAGATTGAAAATGAAGCAAGGAGAAGTTGTATCGGGGCCGAAGGTAAGAGAAATTTTGTTTTATTATTCTGTGTGTACAGAAATATATATACTCTGTCCAGCGAGAGAATATCCTTGATCTGCACATAGGAGAAACATAGCAGGCAAAGTGGGAAAATAGCGTTGCGCACTGCACACTCGCTGACAGCTAATGGCTGACAGCTAATGCACGAGCAGTACAGTGCTGTGAAGAAGGGAAGCTTTCTAAACTTGGTAGAGGAGATGCACGAACTGACGAGTTTTTATCCGATCCGAGAATATTCTCTCTTCGTCTGGACAGAATATACATGAATATATATACATAATATATAAATAAATTTATATATTATGAGAAAAAAGATTGTTCTCATCCTACTTTCAATCCAGATTATTATTCCTTTAAAAAATGAAATAATGAGATATATTTCAGGTAGAGTTGGAAATTACTCTGGGATCGCTTACTCTGTTCCTAAGTCCCAGGCAGCTGCACGTTTTGTTAGAGTTAGCCCACGGCTTGGCGTCACCGGATCTAGAAGATGTCAGTAACATTGTTCCAAAAAGATATTCGGAAAAACCTATGGGTGGCAGCGATTTTAACCACATAGAACGCGAACTTATCCATCAGACACATCCTATGCAAGACTTAAAGACTACGGTAATTTGAACGTTTTAATACTTTTCTTTATGCATACATAAGTATAATTCTTAATTTAATAGAAATTATTGTCAATTTTTTATGTTATAGGATCTACGATATGCTCAAGGATGGTCTACGGCTTCTGTGGACGAATCCGATAACGAGGATGAATTTTTGCCGATGAAGTTGCCAGGATCCTCGTCGATGTGCGACTCGATCACAAGCAACAATTTCAATATGGAGGACAGCATTTCGACCAGCAGCGTAAGCTCTAAAAGCTCGACAACGAATCTGCCACAACATAGTAGAACGTACAAATATAACGTGGATAATGACACTTCTGCGGAAACTACTCAGTTTCATATAAGAGTGTCCTCTGTTGCTTTAGTTCTTTTGCACGAAGATATATTGACGTCGTGTATGGAACAAATTGGTCTAACTTCTAGTAGCATAAAACAGATGAGGAACATAGCGAAAGAATTTTTCAAACAATTAGGAACATTTGCAATGAGTGGCTTTGGAAGCAAAGATTTTGACTCAGCGTCGAAAATACTCACGGATGCTTGTCGACTCAGTCATATTAGGTACATTATTATTAAAGTGCTCATTTATTTCTTTAAATAGAAATGTTTCGAGCGTTTTTAAAAATTTTTTAAATAAAACTTTCATATTAATTATAGATTATTAGCTGCACCATTAGTGGTAGAAGGCAGCGAGAAAACTACCAATCAATATTCCGCAATATCGGGAAGTTTGACTTTGGCTAGTTTGGAAATCGTAGAGTGTCTGGTCGACTCCAATAATGTCAATTCGCACGGGACATCTACAATAGAATTTATTGAGTTGCTAGCGTTTACAAAAGAAAATTCAGCTACTATTGGTTTTTCTAATAAAACTGATTTTAAACTAAAATTTAAATACACAGAAAAAGCTATTCGGCACGCTCACATGACGAAATTTGCACATCCGCGCACTGAAATTGAGTAAGTAGATTTATATTTTTTACATACACTAAAGAATTACATACAATATGGTATTTTACTTTCTAGCATTCAAATGGAACCTTGTAAAGCCGAAGTGGACATTACAATTGTAGATAGAATATCCGCTCTTCTTAATCCGCAACCAATATGTATTTGCAATCCGACCGGAAATAGTAGAAACGCTGTGAGTATAACTAGCAAAATTTCAAGTATTGTCTTTGGAATATATTTTCAATTTTTCTTGAAAAGTTGAATCAAAAATAACATCTCTCTTATCTCTAGAGTCAGCAAACGATATTCGATCAAGCTGTGGATAGCACAGTACTAACGGATTCCAGAGTGGATGTGAAAATTTTCTCGTCGTCGTGTACGATTAAACTAAGGTATCATTTATATGTATTAAACACGAAGCGATGGTATGTTTATATATTTTTCATTTTTAGTTTTCCCATACCAGATTTGAGACCGTTGCATGATATGAGTCGTACGCCGTGGTGGAAGAGATCCGTGAGGTCTGACTATATGATAATACAAATGACGGACGCACAAGTTCACTCCACTATGGAGAGCCGATCTCACTATACAGCAAGACACGAGTTGCAATGTCGACGACTGTCATTGTTGTACATGGAAACTGAGAGCGATACGCCGATCGAGATTGGTCTGGCCACGGTCGATGAAAAAAACGATGGCGCGTCGTGTCAACAGGTGAACGACGGCTTCGATTGGGCGAGAGTGGTGGTCACTGTGTACCCGGAACGTCTTGGTGCTCAGTTAGAGGATAGTTCGGAGGAGGAGTCGGACAATGACAAACGAATTCTCGACGATAGTTTGGAGAAAACGCCGAAACACGAGCCTTCTCCGTTTACTTCTAGACGAATTATGCGCGAATCTGATACATTTCATTCTAAATTATATGAACACGGCGAAAAAAACGAACAGAGGTAGTGAGTCAATTTTTGCGATGCTTTCAAATGAACTTCTGTCTGAAAGTTTCTCTGCCTAACTTGTGATTTTGATTTTTAAATATTGCAACAGTGACGGCGAAGAGCTTATTATACCTGGTAATCGACAAGAGATGCTGGAATTTATAGAGGCAGCCTTACATGGATCTAGAGTGCAACTGGAGATTAATTTACCTTGCGCTTCCGTCCAGATACCCTCTAAACGCATTTATGAACAACTTTATAACCGATTCAACACCGATTTGTTTCTATGGGAGCCGTCAGCGCCTAGGCCCAAGTACTCTAACATAGAGAGTCACATTGGCCTCGACTTAGCATCGACTCTTTTACAGGAACCAGCTTATGCTAGGCAAGTGTTATGTAAAGAAATTTTACATTTTTTTAAGCAGACTCTCTTCAATCTCTTAGAAATATTAAAGACATTGTCTAAGAGAAGTTTCTCTTAATAAGTGCAACGTTTAGATAGTAAACGTTTAGTTTACTATTGATTTCCGAAAAAAACCGACTTGAGAAAAAAACTGATGTAATTTTATTATGAGCGCTTTATTATATATACTTGCAATTTATAGATTCAGCATGTGCAAGAGCGGAATTCAATATAACTCCGATTCCGATTCGGACGAAGATGGAATATCCTCTTCCACATTAAACGAGAAAAATCACGTACATCAACACGTACAGAAATCAAAGGCTCAGAGCAAGTTGGCGGTGATTTTGAGCATTAATCAGGGTCTATTGTCATTGTACACTCCTGTGCGCGACTCTATGCGCAATGTTATACCCGGCCAACAAGGAGAATTAATCATTCGTCTGGAAGATGTCACGATATTCTCTGTGACGGCGTATAAGGGAAACGCGAATTTGAGCTACGCTTGCGCCATGATGAAGACCGCGTCATTGGATCACTGCGGTCTAACAACGAGTCCGTCACAGACGCCACCATTAAGATGCATCAATAGTGTTAAACCTCGACATTGCAAGAGAACGATATACCGTAACGAGTCCGATAGTAATATAGCAGCAAACTCTAGCGATAAGGACATGATAATGATTGCAGTGAGGATACAAGCGGCCCATCAAACTCACCGTATAAAGATCTTTCGAGTCGCGGTAGGCATAAGCAACGCTACGCTGAGACATCGGATTTGTTCCACTGCTACCACGTGGTTCGCGGAGTTTATGGATTGTTTTGATGTAGCGGATCATCCAGTTGCCGGTTACACACCACCGGGTGTTCTAACGGAACTGCATCTGCATCTGTGGGACTGCGCAATTGATTATAGACCGCTTCATTTGCCGCTAAAATCTCTGGTGATCCTCAACAACTTTAGCGTATCGAGCAATATCACAGCGCAAACCAACACCTCGACATTGCGTTTCATCGCGGAAGATGTTGCGCTTTTTATATCGGATAAAGTGCGCGAGAAATCGGTAAATCTCAAGCGGGATTATGTTTGCGTGATGAACTTCGGCTTGTTCGAGTTGTCGTTGCGCCTCAACGAGAGAATGTATGGCGGCGCGCCGCGTGTCGATCTCCGTGCCAGCAATAACGTGTTGCATGTTCGCACGTGTTCGGACTCCGGTCGTGCTCTTATGCAATTACTCACTTACATTGCTAATGACGGTGACTTGCAACAACCATCCAATAGCACTCAGAGTAGCAACACTGAGAACATTCCCACTGTGCCGCCGACGTCTACGAAATACGAAGAAAATCTTCTGGGTGTTGAGAGCATCAACACTCTGAGTAGGAGTCAAGTGGAACGAGTTTACAGCCTAATGGAAGACGCATTAGAAGAGACTGTGAAAGGAACAGCAACAGCACAAAACGGAAATGAAAATGAGAAAACGCCGATGATCGAGAATCGAGTCGAGTTTTTTTTTCCCAATGAATCATGCAATGTTCCATCGCGAGCGACAGAGATATGGAAACATTCGCAGGAATGCGATAAAACAATCGCGTTCACTCCAGAAGACGATGATGATGACGACGACGAGTTTTGTATTCTAGGAGAAGAGGCCGGTGTTGGGATAATTCCGCGCTGCGGAGTACCTGAGATACGGTCGTTGTGTCAAGAATCATTGAGAATAGTAGATAATCACTTTTCCGTACCTGCTACCAAAACCGATCTGTTGCAAACACCACCTAATTACCCAGCGCCTAATTTGAGGTATACTCTCTGTGAGATGACGCTAATATGGCACATGTATGGAGGCAATGATTTTGACAATTCGCAGCCACAATGCACAAAGCACGTAACCATTCACGATAACATTCGTGCCAATATCGCGCATGGAAGGTACGAAATTAAAAGAAACCTTAGAAACTTGATAGATTAAAATAAATTCTTATATAAATCTATTTAAAAAAATTAATGAATAAATCATAAAAATTCTTTTTATGTCTGTTTGGCAGGAGTAAATCTTCTATAGGTGCAGTAGGTTTTAATAAATCTAGTCCGAACGAAGTGCAGTTTGGCAGCGTGCCTAATTCACCGCGTGTAACGAAAAACAACGACACGTTGATCGATTGGCACATATTGGGCGGCCCGGGTCGGCGTCACGACGTGCTGATGGAATTGCAACTGAGCAAGATTCGCTTCCAACACGAGGTCTATCCGGAGAACACTCGCGAAGCGTCACGACAGGTGCTATTGGTGCACGAGATCGAAGTAAGGGACAGACTGGCGTCGTCGCACATAAACAAATTTCTTTATCAATACAGTAGCGAGGCGAGACCCAGGCAGTCTCACTCCATTATGTTTACCATGAAGGCGGTTCATGTAAGACCGGATCCCAGATTAAGTGCCCAAGAATGTTGTTTGAAACTTAGTCTACTGCCGCTGCGACTGAATATAGATCAAGATAGCTTACTGTTCTTAATACAATTTTTTAACGAACTAGGCGGTGGATCAAAACGAAGTCAAGAAATTTCTAACACACCGAATAGCTCGCAATCCACCCCCGTATCGAAACAAGGAACGCCTACCCATCATCCGCCTATTATGAGCGTAAACGATGATGCGGCAAAGAATGATTACGCAGTGATGAATATGTCGCAGAATAATATCATTGATCAAAATTTGTTAATATTTTTGGAAGACGAGCTGACATTCAGAGAGAATAAAACGAAAACAAAATCTGTCTACCAAGTGCATGACAACAGTCAGCCGATATATTTTAGGTATGTGATGTCCAAGTTCTCATTATCAAGTACTTACAATACAATGTCTAACGTTCGAAAAATTAACTAAAATCATCTGTGTTTAGAAGCGTGGTGTTTGGGCCGGAAGTTCTCATTAGGCTGGACTATCACGGAAAGCGCATGGATTTCACTCACGGCCCAGTAGCGGGTTTGTTAATGGGCTTGGCGGAACTAAATTGTTCCGAATTGAGACTGAAGAGATTGTCATACAGACATGGACTTTTGGGATACGACAAACTCCTCACGTATCTGATTTCAGAATGGTTGCAAGATATTAAGAGGAATCAACTTCCAAGTTTACTTGGTGGTGTTGGTCCTATGTATTCTGTGGTACAGCTATGTAAGTGTATAACTTACGTTTGCTCTCATATATTCTGCATCAATAACGCTCTCGGTTATGCTCTTTGTTGTAGTTCAAGGGATACGCGATCTATTTTGGCTACCGATTGAACAGTATCAAAAGGACGGGAGAATAGTCCGTGGTTTACAGCGAGGTGCGAATAGTTTTACAACGTGTACCGCAATGGCGGCATTAGAATTGACGTGCAGAATCGTGCAAGCTTTACAGACCACAGCCGAAACCGCGTACGACATGGTTAGTCCAGGTCCTAGTGTAAGGTGCAAAAACAAAGGGCAAAAGGGTCGACGAAAAAGATACAATCAACCATTAGATATTCGTGAAGGAGTGGCTAATGCTTACACATTGGTTAAGGAGGTGAGATAAAATATTTCAATGCACAACTGCAACGCAAACATTAATATCAATAATATCTAATTATTCAGGGTTTAGGCGAGACCGCAACCCAACTGGTTCGAGTGGCAAGTGAGGAGCACGAGCACAAGGGTACAGTCGGTGCTGTCGGTGGAGTGCTCCGACAAATTCCACCCACAGTCGTGAAGCCAATTATTCTGGCTACAGAAGCGACCAGCAATGTGTTGGGTGGTATGCGATCGTCATTGGTACCCGATGCGCGCCGAGAGGCGGTTCAGAAGTGGCGGCAAGATTCTGACGCAAACTAATTTCGTTAAAAAAACACACAAAAGAAATTTATTAAATCATTAATTCGGATGATCAGTCAGTTTTGCTCAAATCACGCTTTTCGATCGCAACTGATTTGATATCCAGCCATTTTTTTTATTATGATATATATGATACGTAGACGAGAGATAGAAAAAAAGAAGAAATAGACATGCAAAACACTCGTACGTTTACGTTTGTATTGATGATCGTGAAACCGATTATCTTGGTAACTTTGTGATGAAGTGATTTATTCTTATTAGATTTATACGACAAGATCTTGCTGATGTTAGCAGAGAGAATAAGAGAACAATAGACCTAAGATATGAATATTCAACGACAGTCTGATGGAAGAATGAAAAGAGAATTCACTATTGAGTTCATTTGCGAGTGCACCTAAATAGTGATATATATGTATATATAGAGAGAGAGAGAGAAAGAGAGAGAAAGAGAGAGAGAGAGAGAGCGAGAGCGAGAGCGAGAGTTAGTTTACAATGAGAATGAATCACACTCTATATATATATTGGGCTAAAATATCCTCTTCTCTTTCTCTCTGTTCCGCCTCTTCTTCTTTTTTCTCTTTGCCTTGCGTATGTGCGCGTGTATGTGTTACACCTCCGATAAATCACATACACGTATATTCATTTGATCATGTAAAATGTAAATGTTTTATACAAAATGTGATATATATACATATATGTAAAAATTTTATTAATAAAATTATATGAAATTATATATTATAAAAGATATTATTTCTCTGTTATTGTACTCTACGAATTTTGAGGTAAAGATTTTACTGACAATGTTATCTCTTGGAAAAAGTACGTAAAATATTCTATTAATTAATTCCCTAAGTTTTACGTGTATATATGTACAGTGAACAACAGAAATTCGTTGAATAGACGCAAAAATCTGAGGCTGTGTTCAGTTAAGCAAGATGGAACGAACTAATGCAGGAAATGCAGGAAATACAGGAATTGGAACTAATGAAACTAATGAAACTAATGAAAG